GCACGCACGCACGCACGCACGCGCTCACACAAACTCGGAGGCGCCGAGGTGGTCTTGTCCGGCTGCAAAACCGGCCGTGCCAGAAAGGGGTTGGAAAGAACTCCCACGAGCGCTTACCGTGTTAGGCGACGGGAGCAAAAATAGCAGGAGTCTGCGAGCTTTTTCTGAAGGTTTATGAAAGGCGTCAGCTTTGGTCAGCTGCACTCCCTTCATCAGATGCCTCGAGGGGCTAGGCTGATGTAGGATTTAAATTGGGGGGAAGGGAGAGAAGATTGATTGATTAGGTGCCACGACGTTGGTGTTGACTCTTAGCAATCCCGTAGGTAGATCTTCTCCATGGCCATCTGTCCCTAACCTGCTCCTTCAGGTCTTCCAACGGTGCCCCCATCGCCTCTGTACCTGAGTCCATCCACCTGGCTGCTGGTCATCCTCTTCTTTCCTTCCACCTTTCCCAGCATCAGAGCCTTCTCCAGAGAGCGGGGTCTTTGCATCATGTGTCCAAAGTAGGATCATTTGAGCCTGGCCATTTGTGCCTCGAGTGAGAGCTCTAGTTTGATTTGTTCAGTGATCCATCGGTTTATTTTCTTGGCTGACCACGGTATTCTCAGGAGTCTTCTCCAACATCAAAATTCAGAAGACCCAATACTTTTCCTATCCTGCTTTTTCAGAGTCCAACTTTCACTTCATAGTGTCACAAGAAGCCAAAAACCAACAGGTGCAGATTTTAGTTGCGAGGAGCCAGGTTGTTCCTGTTAATTCACTTGTGTTAAGGCCATCACAGCTCTTTTCTCCCACCCAAGGGGTAAGTGAAGTGAGACAGCAGTGTAGTCAGAAGGCCCTTTGGTTTACAATAATAGTGGGGAATGTTAGAAAAATAAGTACGTACAGTATATCCAATTTAGAAATCCAATTATGGTGGAAATGAAAAAGATTGAAGTTTTGCTTTTGACAGAGTATGGGACTTTAAATTTTTACCTATCACTTCGAATAAATAGAGGTTAATATTACATGTCATGCAATATTTTTATTTATTTAAAATAATTTTTATTTTAGCAGCTCATTATGAGGGAATAATGAATGTAATGTATTATTATATGAATTGTCTTATTTACCATGGTTAACTATAAATGCATAATATTTAAAACTACTGCTGTTGCAATGAGATAAATTGCTGAAATAAGTTCAAAGCTCCTTTGTGCTCTTATTATTCCCGAGAGGGTTTTATGATCATCAGTGTTTCAATATACAGTGGTACCTCTAGTTATGAACTTAATCCGTTCCGTGACTCTGGTTGCAACTCAAGTTGGTCGCAACTCGAGGTAAATT